CCAGCACTTCCCAGCACGACCACCAGCACAAGTACCAGCACGACCACCAGCACGACTCCCAGCACCTCCACCAGAACGGCCAGCAGCACGACCACCAGCACGACCACCAGCACGTCCACCAACCACGACCACCAGCACAGCCGCCAGCACAACCACCAGCACGACCGCATTATGGGCACACGGTCGGTCGAAATAAAGCAGTGCGAGATCACACCGGTAGGTATGATGATAAGCTCTAGGAAGGCAGGCGAAGGGCTGTGAATTGCACTCTTGGGCCCTCGTGGGTCTTTTTTGGGGGCCTCTTGAGGGCTCTTGGGCCGTTTCTGGGCGATCTTCGGCGCCTTTTGGGGCCGTGTTGGAGGCTCTGAAGGCCAACAAGGCGGCAGTGCTAAAGCCATGCAGCGACCAATGGGCTCTGACGATTTGGGCGTCCAGGGCCGCCCTCCAGAGCCTCCAGGACGCCCCGCGAGGCCCGAGCGGTCCTCGGGGCCGCCTCGTGCCCTGCTGCAGCTGCGCGTGCCGGACGGCGCGCTCCTGGCTCTCCGCGGAGGACGTCGCGCGGAGGACCCGCGGGAGCGCCCGGGAGTGCCCGGGAGCGCCCAGGACTCCGGGCTGTGGCACCAGGGGTGGACCTGAACGGTGTTTTGGCGATTTCGTGGGCCGTTTTCGCTTCGATCTCGTTTTGCGGCAGAGGCGGGTTGGAGACAGAACGAGGGACAAACACGAAAGCAAAGACGAAAACGAGAAGCACCGTTTAGGTTCAGCCCTGTGTGGAGCCCGTGATGTTTGCGCAGTGCTCCATGCAGAATTCGCATGGGGCACATGGGGCCTTCCAGCTCGTGCCTCCAGGGGGGCACAGCGGCGGCCACCACACACACGCACACACGTGCACACACACAATCACACGTGCACACGCGTACGCACAGATGTAGGTATGTTTTGTACTATGCTGTGTTCAGCTGTTTACGGTATAGTATCATATGTTACTTCATGTCGTATCGTAATGTGTTGTACTGTATTGTATCGTTATGTGGTCAATAGCTTGGTACAGTATTTCATATTATCCTATGTTGTATCCTATTGTATTGTATGATCTAGTGTTGTATTTTTGTTTACTACGTTTTAACACACTATAGTGTATTATTCCATACTATATATGCTTGTTTATGTGCTGATATGCTATGACATGATGAGCTATGTTGTGACATGTTGTGGCATGGCATGTTACGTTATCTGATGTAACAGTCTGGTCTATAATATTAGGTTTTGGTATGGTATGATTTATTGTCTTTGTTGTTTTTTTACGATGCATGCTATGCCTGTTACTTGTGTATGTGTATATGTGTATATCTATATGTATGTACGTATAGATGTATATATGTGGGTGCGCCTGTATGTATGTATGCATGCATGCATAATTGCATGCATGTATGTGTGCATGCATGTTTGTATGTATATGTATATATGTTTGTGTTGTGTATGTTTATGTGTATGTGTATATGTGTGTTTGTATGCATGAATGTATGTATGCATGTATGTATGCATGCATCTATGCATGCAGGTATTTATGTCTGCATGCACACCAGCATGCATGCATGCAAGTATGTATGCATGTATGTATGCACGTCTGTTTAATGTATACATGTATGTGTGTATGCATGTATGTGTGTATGTGTGTGTGTGTTGATGTATGTATGTATGCACGTAAGAGTGTATGTGTGGATGCACGTCTGTATGCATGTATGTGTATATGTGCGTATGCATGTATGTGTATGCATGAATGTATGTATGGGTGCACGTATGTATGCATGTATGTGTATGCGTAAGTATATACGTATGTATGCATGCACGTACGTATGCATGTTTGTGTGTATGTATGGATGTATGCACGTACGTATGTATGTATGCACGTTTGTATGTACTTGTGCATGCATGCATTCATGTATAGATGTCCGTACGCATGTATGTCTGTACGTATGCATGTTTGCATGCATGCACGACTTGCACGTATGCCTGTATGCATGTATGTCTTTTTGTGTGTATGTAGGTATGTATGAAAGTCTGTATGTGTGTATCTATGCACGTATGTACGTATGCGTGTATGTATGTATATATGTTTGAGTGTATATACGTGTGTGTACTTATGTATGCACGTATCTATGTATGCACGTATGTATGCATGTATGCATGTATGCACGTACGCATGTAGATAGTTGTGTGTCTATATATGTGTGCATGTCGTTAAGTCGGTATGCACGTATCTATGTATGTATGTAAGCAATGTATATGCATGTATGTATGTGAATGTATGTATGCATGACCATATGTATGTATGTGTGTATGCATGTGTGTACGTAAGTAAACAGTCATGCATGCATACATGTATGTATGCACGTATGTATGAATGTACATGTGCATTTATGTGTGCATGCATGTATGCGTGCACCTCTGTATGCATGTGTGTATGTGTTTGCGTATGTGTGTATGCACGTTTGTATGCATGTACGCATGCACGTATGTATGTATATGTCTGTGTATGTATGTATGTGTGTATGTATGTATGTATGCATGCATGCACGTATGTAGATATGTATGTATGTATGGACGTGTGCGTATGTATGTGCGGATGTAGGTATGTATGTATGCATGTATGCATGCATGTATGCATGCATGCCTGCGTGTATGTACGTCGGTATGTGTGAGTGTATGTGTGTGTATGTATGTATGCACGTATGTATGTATGTGTGCACGTATGTATGCATGTATGCATGCATGTATGAAGGTTTGTGTGTATGTTTGCATGTATGTATCCATGCATGTAAGTTTGTATGTCTGTATGCATGCGTGTATGGCTGGAGGCATGTGTGTATGTATGTACGTATTTATGTATGCATGCATTCATGCATGTATGCATGTATGTATGTATGTCTGTATGCATGTATATATACATATATGTGTATGCATGCATGTGTGCATGCATTCATCTATGTATGTATGCATGCATGTCTGTATGTCTTTATGCATGTATACACACACATATATATATATATATATATATATATATTTATGTATGACTATATATACATGTATATATATATATATATATATATATATATATATGAGTAGGGCCGGGGGCGGCCCGGGGCGGTGCCTGTAATCTCCATGGGGGGTGCAGGGCGCCCCCGGGAGCGTCCGAAGCGTCCCGGAGGGCCCCTGGGACCGCCAGGAACAGTTCGAGACCGCCCAAGACGGCCCGCGAGCGCTCCAAGACGCGCATAGATAGCTTCAGGAATGGCCAGGAAGGCCCGAAGACGTTCCAAGAGAGCTCCATGAGGCCCCGAAGGCATCCCAAGAGGCCTCCCGACAAGCCAAAATCGTTGATTTTAATTGTTTTTTCCGAGGTGTTTGGCCTTCTCGCTTTTTCGGGATTCCGACGCTCCAAGACTGTCCAATAGTCTCCCAAAACCGCTCCAAGACGGCCGAAGAGGCCCCCAAGACCGTCCCAAGACGGCCCAAGAGACCCCCAAAATCGTCCCAAGACGGCCCAGGAGAGCCCCAAGATGGCCCAGGAGCCGCCCAAGACTGTTCCAGGAGAGCCCCGACAGGGCTTCAAGACTGCCTAAGCGAGCCCAGCGGGTCCCAAGAGGGCCCCGCCAGGCCCCAAGAGGCCCCCAAAGAGGCCCCCAAGAGCCTCCCCGGAGGCCCCCAAGAGCCCCCCAAGATGCCCAAAAATGGCCCTGAGCGCGCCCCAAGACGCCTCCAGGAGAGCCCAACAGGCCTCCGGGCCGTACAGATGGTCCAGGAAGCCTGAAGAGGCCCCGAAGACGCCCAAAAGCGCCCCAAGAGGGCCCGTGCGAGCCCTTTCAAGAGGCACACATTGGCCCATTCCCTTCGTAAAACTTGCGTTTTCGGCATACTCGCTGGCTTCGTCGTCGCAGTGCCACATACACCCCCACGAAGCCCCAACACAGCCCAAGAGAGACCCAAGAGGGCCCCAGACGGCCCAAAAGGGTCGGCCTGTGGAACTCACGGAACCC